CTGCAATAAAGGCACGCCAGACCACTGTAGTTGCACACTGAATCAGGTAGGATGGTGTGTGACTGCAGTCCCAGCACTCTGGACAGCTGAGGTAAGAAGGTCACATGGTGGAGTCCAGCCCAACCAATTTGGTGAGTTAGTGAGACCCTCAGTGGGTATCTGAAGTAAAATGTCTGAGGATATAGTTCACTGAGGAGATGCAGAGTATAAGCCCCAGTAATGCAAAAGTGAAAAACTAACAGATAGATGAGAAATAGATAAAAATATTCATAGATACTTAGATAAAAATCGCAAAATAAGTGGCCACTGATTTATTTAGTATGAAGAAAAAATGGCTGTCATGGGCGGAGACAGGGGGAGAGTCCTCACAGTCCTGGGCCTGACTCTCCTGATGACGCAGAAGGTTGTGGAAGAATCACATAGAGACCAAAAGCTTAGAAGCAAAGTTGTACTTTTATTCAGCAAGCATGCAAGAGTACAGCTGCCTTCTCTCAGAGAGACAGGCAGAAGTGCCCAAAACAGAGCCACCGTTGCAGGGGGCCTCAAGATGCTGGTTTTATAGTAGTTGGAGCCTATCCTGCCTCTGGGCCAAGGGCGCCCCTACTTGATTGGTTAATGATTAACTTAGCTCATTACTAGAGACAACAGGGAAGGGTCTTTTCAGGGGCCCTTTACATCTTAGGGCCAAGGTTCTTTTTCCTTTTGATCTTAGCAAACCAAGCTTTGCAGGCTACAGCATGAAGAGGAGGGTCAACCTCAGCAGACTATCGGCTTTTTATGGGTGGTTAAGCCTGTTCTGCCAGCTATCTGAACTCCTTTGGGGAGGGGCTCATCTCTCCCTGCCTAGGGGTCTCTATCCCTACAGGGCTATAGGCTTTTCTATTACATGGAGACTCAGGTTATGGAACCCCCAAGGCATGAGCTCACTTCCTTGGCAACATCTCCAAACAGAACTTGGAACCCTTGTTAATGGGTGTCACACTCTAGTAACAGCCTTCTCCCAAGCTCACCTGGCCAGAGACTGTCAACAGCGAACATGCTGAGCTGCTTCTCCACTTCGAGAGGCCACAGCCTCAGGACCCCAGGAAGAGAAAGTATCTGTGAAAGATTAAGAAGACAGTTGACTCCATCCAGATGCCACAGGCCATGCTGCAGCAGCCGCATGACTGTCACAGACACCCCAGGGAAGGTCTCCCTGGGAGTGAGCACCAGTGACCTACCACAATCAAGGTACCCCAGTGAAGTCTCCCTAAGCCCAAATACCAATGGGACAGAAACTGGGAAGAGCATGGGACAAGTATCACCAGCCCCAGAAACACCCTGTAGCTTTGGGCAGGCCTCCCCAGAGCTGGGCACAGAAAACCTAGAGAGTCAAAGTCCAGCGGGGGAGACCGAAGTCACAGCCATGGGTCCCTGAGAAACACTGAGAAGCCTGGTATACATCCATCTGGGCCTGGCTGCCACTATTGGAAACAACTTCACAGAGAGCCTTGCAGAATTCCTGCCAGTGTGGTCCCTGCAGGCAGTCAGGCCGCTCTTGCTCTCTGAGCCCTGCCTGCCTGTTTCCCTGGCAGCCAACCCATCTATGGTCCCTTCTTCCCAGGCACCTCCACCACCCACACTGCTACCTGATCAGCCCTGATTTTGGGAAGAGACATCATGACAAGGTCTCTTGAGAATTCCATCCACTTTGAGGGCCTGTGAGATAAAGATCGAGATGTGTGGTGTTTGGACAATAAACAGCTCTTCACCACACACGGGGTAGAGGAGGAAGGAGACCCGTATACTGTGTCACCTCAGTTGGAGTTAGAAGAGGCCATTAGGCTTTCTGAGCTAAAGAAAGATTCTGAGCTCTTAATTCATTCATCACCTTATATACCAGAACATCCTAAAGTGCCTTGTCCAGGAGGAGAGAAATCCATCCACCACAGAGCTGCAGGCTGCTGGAGAAAGCTGTATTATGTGAATGGCCACACTTTTCAGGCCAAATGTTTCAGCAGGTGAGCTCACTGTGCTGTCTGCACAGACTTGGCTGCCAGATATATAAGTGCACCAACTGCAAACTCTCAGTTCACAGGAAGTGCCACAAACTTGTCACAATTGAATGTGGGCAGCATTCTTTATCATCAGAGCCCATGGTGCCAGTCGATCTGCCATCCATGGCTTCAGACCCTGCACACACAGTGATCCCCATTTCAACTCATGAGGCTTTAGAACAAGTTGATGAAGAGAATGAGGCAGGAAACACCGTGAAGGGTGACAAAACTTCATCTGGTCTAGGTCTTGAGGACTTTGACTTGCTCCGCGTGATTGGCAGAGGAAGTTATGGGAAAATACTGTTAGTCCAACTGAAAAAATCAGATCATATGTATGCCATGAAAGCAGTGAGAAAAGAGCATTTCTGCATTCATCAGGTACAGAGAGAGCAGCACATTCTACAGCAGACATCCAATTGTCCTTTTCTAGTTACACTGCATGCTTGCTTCCAGACAGAAAGTAGACTGTTCCTTGTTCTAGACTATGTCAGTGGGGGAGATCTACTGTTTTATGTGCAGCAACAAAGCATGCTTCCTGAAGAACATGCCAGATTTTACTTTGCAGAAATCAGTTTAGCAGTCAACTGTCTTCACCAGCAAGGAATAATTCACAGAAATTTAAAAATGGAAAATGTATTACTAGACTCAGAAGGGCACATTAAACTCACCGATTGTTGCTTGAGTAAGGAAGGCTTACAGCCAGGAGACACAACCCACACTTTCTGTGGCCCTCCTCATTTCATGGCTCCAGAAATTATAAGAGGAAGATTACAGTTTCGGTGTGGACTGGTGGGCTCTGGGAGTGCTGATGTATATGATGATGATCAGAGAGTCTCCATTCCATCTTGATGAGTGCTCTGATATCCCTTATGAAGACTCAGTTGAGAATCTCTTCCAAGTAATTTTGGAAAGAGACATTTTCATACCTTGTTGTCTGTCTGTACAGGCTGCAAGTATCCTAGAGGGTTTTCTGAACAGGGACCCAAAAGAACTACTGGGTTGTCATCCTCACAGGGGCTTTGCTGATGTTCAGGAGCATCCATTCTTTCAAAATGTGGACAGGGACATGATGGAGCGAAAGCAGGTGGTGCCTCCATTTAAACCAAATATCTCTGAGGGATTTTGTTTTGACAACTTTGATCCTAAGTTTACTAACCAAACTGTCCAGCTCACCCCAGATGATAATGATGTCATGAGGGAGCTTGATGGATATGAATTTGCAGGTTTTGAGTGTATCAATCATCTTATGATGTATGAAGAAGAAGGGATCTGATCCTCATTTTTCAACTATGCATTTTACTTATGTTGCCATTTAATGCTCGGAAAAACTTGTTACCAGCTTGGATAGAATTAACCATTTCAGAGTTGTTTGGAAGCTAATTTTAATTTATTGTTTTGAACTTACATTTAGATGTAATACTTGATTCTTATAGTCTATAGTAGAGAATACGGAATTTTTTGTTCATAGATTAGATTTTTATGAACAGATTTAAATAACAATGAGGCAATCGCTTATTAACCACACTTGTATATACATTCCATTTGTTGAGTGGGACATAATGCCTAATATTTTTTCTTTTTACTTATGATGCAAGAAAACAATTTGTCTTTTCAGTAAAATATCTTACCTATGCTAGTTTCTCTCCAACCACACTTTTGAAACTGACCACTTTTGGGGGTCAGTTTATGTAGTCTTCAGGAAAATCCAAAAAATACCAACAATTGTGAATAAAAACACATATACTTGTATCTTTTTTATATGAAGAAAATATAATATAGGACTACAAGCTTTGGGAAGGTAATAGTTCTCATGAAATGGGGCATCTGAAAAAGATTAAAAGATATTTTATTAAATGTTTATAAATTTTAAATTGTTCTAAATTAAAAACTAGATCATTAACTAAGATTAAATTAAACTAAGATTGTACCATTATAACTTAATTACATTTAGATGATGATGGCTACCTTTCACATCCTTTGCATAAAAATGATAATATATAGCATCCTAACTTTAGAAATTACAAATAGTTTTCAACTATTTTTGTGGTATTTAAGTGTTATGTCAGTTCTTTTCATGTCATATAGAAATTGTCTCAAAATACTCTTTAGGGGAATAAGTCAGTTTATAGTCAGAATGGTTGGCATTCTGGTGTTCTAAAAAAAATTATTTTGCATAATTCTGTAGTCAGATCATTTTATGCATATGTAGCTTGGGTTAAATTTCAAGTACTGTGTTCAGCACTGGTATATTCACTATATACATTTGTTTTGTTTTGATTTTTGTCATGTAGAACACTGACTTGGTCATCATAATGTAATCTGTGTTGTGTTCTTCTTTTTTCATGTTACAGCCTTTAAATAAAACATTTAATATAAATTCAAAACAAAAAAACAAAAACAAAAAAAGTGCTAATAAACTTTGATTATGCTACCTACTAATGAGCTACAACTTGTGTTTAGAGAAACAGTAGTCAATGTTGTGCCCAGATCGCGAAGTCCCCAAAGACCACCAAGGAGCCGATTCCGATGTGAACACACGAGGGTCGTTTATTCAAGCTCGAGCAGGGGCACTCAACCGTCACCGACACAGCAGATCAGGATTGAGAGCCCCAAATTTCAAATCAGCAGGGTTTTTATTGTGGCTACAGCAAGGTTTGGGGATTTTCCATTTAGCAGTTACATGATTGGTTGATATTTAGCAAGTATGGGGTGTACATGGGGGGGGGCGTTGAGGGGTGGCTACATGTAGATTTTATGGGAAAAAGGAACAATCAGCACATTGACAGAATGTTCTATAGATAATGGGCCCGGGAGCATCTGTTTTCTGGGCAGACAGAGGATTAAGTTAGGAGCTGTGTCCTTTTTTTATCTGTTGTCTCACAGCAAGGACATTTTATCATTATTTTATGGGCACAAAGGAGACTAGGGGAATAGTTGACTTCAGTGAAGTGGAATTTATGTCAAGGCCACTTTACTGTCTTATTCCAAGATGGAGTCAAATTTTAAAATGGAGTTAGTTAGGTCTCACACCAAGATTAAGGCAGAAATCTGCTTCCCTTACTTTTCTCCAGTCTGTTTTCTCTTACTTATCTCCAGCAGCAAGAGTAATCTTTTTAATGCCTCAGTTAGATCAGGTCTGTCAGTACTTAATGCCCTCCAGCTCACTTAGAATAAGATCCAAATTCCTTATCACAGCCTGCAGGATTAAGGCTCCCATCCAACTTTATCTGCGACTGTACTCATTCCAGATCACTCCTCTCCAGCAGGGTTGATTTCTCTCTCTTTTGCAAAGAACTGCTACCCCTGACCTTTGCTTTCTTTAATGCTTTCTGTCACTTAGCTCTCAGTCCCAAGGTCATGGCCCCAGAGAGGGCTTCCCTGACCACCCTATCCCAGTTCTATCAGTATTTATAAATTTACCCTCATTTTATGTTCCTTCTATTATAGTCATCTGTTAGCATCCCTGAGGATTGGTTCCAAGACTCCATTCTCAGATACTAAAATTCAAGACCTCTCAAGTCCCTTATGGACACTATTTGCATATCACCCATATATATCCTCCCATATACTTTACATCATTTCTAGATTATTTATAATACCTAATACAGTGTAAATGCTATGTAAATACTTGTTTTAGTGTAGTGTTTAGGGAATCACCACAAGAAAAAATTCTATACATGTTCGATACATGCATGATTTTCTCCCCAAATATTCTTGACCTGTGGTTGATTGAATCCACAGATGCAGAACATGTTGGAATGGAGGGCTGACTGTAGTCATCTTTGGAAAACATTTGTTGATTTCTTGCTTGCTTCCTTCTGGCTCTTCCACTAGGGTGTGCGGTCTGCAGGAGGAAGACTGATATAGATTGAGGTGAAGGTTAACACACAGGTCTTGACCAGGGAAAGCTCTTGGTGCCAACATGCAAAAGGAGAAGACACAGGACAGTGTGAAGGGAGGGGTTGGGGTATGATGCCAGATACCTCAACTCATCGTGCAGAGAGATCTGACAGTAGGAGGACCCACTGTCAAATAGGCTTGAGGGCCAGGCCCTTAGATCTCTTTGGTGAGCCATAATTGAGTGCAGCCTGGACCAAAAAGGAGGCATGATGTTGGATAAGATCCATTAGGTCAGGCCGGGGATTTAGCTCAGTGGTTCCAGCGCCTGCCTCACAAGCACAAGGTCCTGAGTTCGATCCCCGGTACCAAAAAAAAAAAAAAAGATCCACTAGGTCTTCATCTATACAAGGCCCAGTAGAGTGGCAGCTGGGCTGAGTGACAGCAGCACTCCCAGTACCGGGAAGAGGAACCCATCATGCCAATCCCAAAGGTTCCAAACAAACTTCACCACTTCCCTTATACCTCTTCAGCTCTTAGGTTTCCATTGCCAGCCTCACTATCACCCTGCTCTGGTACACTGACTTTCCTAGATGCCAGCATTTTCCCTTAAATGTGACCTATTTTCTGCTACACAGGCTGCTTTTAAATCAAAAATAGACACTCTCACTACCTTTTTTTTGAGCAATATGTTAAAGTTTCTGCCTTCTACACCCAAAACCGAACATCCCTTCTCCATTCTGACAGCCAGGAGAGGCCCTGGACCACCCAGTTCCTTGTGTTACCAGCAGGTTTCACTGTCGCCATCAGGGCCAAAAGAACACTGAGCCAAGTGGCCTCTTTGGAATTCATTAACATCTCATTGTCCATGATATTTAATAAGCACACCGATTTGTTATGATAATGTGATGCTGATTCTGAGGCTACTGATGCACGTATTTTCAAAGGGTGGAATACTTAAATAAAAGGAGAAACAGGAAGTGACTAGCCCCTTACTTTACAGGCAAAGAGCATCCCTACTTGCCTAGCCAACATGGAGCAGGGGGTTTGTGGGAGGAATGGTGGAGGTAGAAGGTAATAAAAATGTAATAGTACAAAGAGAAATGGGCCTTGCTTACAAGGAGTGTGCAGTTCAACTGAGGCCAGCTTTGTCTTCTTGTTTGACACACCAAGAACTCTCATTTTCTTAGGCCATGCTCTCTGTGCTTTTCACAGATCAACCCACTTCCTCTTCATGGCACCTCTCTTCTGGGTGCCATTATGGCCCCTGTTTTACAGAGGAGGAAACTGAGGCACGAAGAGGTGAAGTAACTTGCTCAAGGTCACACCTCTGAAAAGTAACAAATCAAAGACAGAAACTCAGGCACTGTGGCCTGGGGTGTACATTACTATTACAAGACACAGTCTCCTTTCATAAAGAATTCTAGGCCCTCACCCACCACTAAAGAAATTCTTGTCAGGAATATATTTTCAGTCTTTAAGCTTTATAGAAATATTACATACTGACTGTGGAAATATGGAAAATATTAAAAAATATAAATTGGGACATTTAAAAATCAATCAGCCCTCAGAGTTCACCAGTGTTAATATTTTCACACCCACCCTGCATTTTCTATGCATATTTCTAATGTATTATAAATAAGTATGCTTTAAATTTTGCTTTGTGCTATAGGTTGTATGTAAAAGTTTTCAATAAAATTTTTTCACCTACTATTTTCAGTCTAATGTTAATTTTCTTATATAATTTTCTATTTATTTCCCCCACATTATTAAATATTCCCAGAACATAATCTAAATTTTCTTTTTAGTAGTTTATCACAACTTATTCAGTTATCATTGGTGCTTATGATCTTCAATTTTCTACTATAAATAGTGCTGAAATGATCATTTTTGTGCAAAAAAAGATTCTTTTTGTATTTAAGGTTTATTCCTAGAAGAGAGAAATTTGATTTAAAATTATGCTTCAAAAGACGCTTAGTGAATATTAGAAATTTTTTCATAATAACTGTATTGCTTAATGTATTTTAAATATGTATAAAATGGAAAGGGCTATTTATCTTATTCTTGCCAAACACAACTATTACAACTGTAACATGATTCACTGTGAGGAAAGGGATCTGGCTGGAATGGTATACTGATCTGAGGAATTAAACGTGATATTTTCTTGGTTCATTTATATTTCCTATCTAGTTTAAACATGTTTTAGTCGTTTATACACTATTATATTTCTCTTATGCCAATATTCTCTTGCTATCCTTATATCTATTGGGTTATTTGGTTCTTGATGGTTTTCTTAAATTGTACAAACTTGTAATACATGAAATATATTTTCTCTTTGTCATTTACTATAACTATGTTCTAATTTGATTCTTTAAATATCACATATACTCTTTTTGATATGTAGATTTTTGAATTACTATGCAACCCGTTAGGTCAAATGTTCTTCCTTTCACTCTATTGCTCTTGCATGTCAAAGTACACATTGGCCCAGCCATCTGGGGAGAAGTTGGACCTACCGTGGTGGTTAGGTGGTGGCCTGGACTCTCCCAGCTCCTTCAAGCACAGCCCTCAGGATACCCTCAATGGCCCTTGATGCTGGGTTTCGTCCCCTACCAAGAAGCCTTCTTGATCAGGTTATTGGTGAGACAGTTCCAGCCCAGGTGACTTGTGAGGGTTCTACTTGACCCACAGGAAACTTGCTCATCCAGACAAGTACAGGCTGCCTTGTGAGGACAATGTCACATGATGAAAATGTGCCTTAACAGAAAATCTTTCTTTTTCATTTAAAAAACTATTAAGTAAAAGACATATCATCATTCATCCCCTTCAGGATCCTTCCCCTCACTTGGAACACACTTGGACCATCGTTCTTGCCACTGTCCGAAGTTAACACAATCTCTTATTGATAAGAACTCTCCTTGACCAAACTTGAATTGGGCTTCTCTGAGCCCCTGCATAACTAGGTCTGTGCCTTAGACTCTGTCCTTGGCTGGCTTAGTCTATTTTAGCAAGAATCTTGCTGATTAAGTTTAGTGAAAATCCCCACTCTCAATACCTGATCAAATTCCTCATCCCCTACTCTTGTTACTCCTGTTAAGTAGGTCAAGAAAGGATGTCCCTCTCACCTTGAGGCTTCCTCTTACTTTCCATCCAATCCCCACCTTCCACCTTGGGTACAAATCCCCACTTGTCCTTGTTATATTTGGTGTTGAGTCCTGTCTCTCTCCACTACAGTAAAACCCTGATCAGTGTAGTCCCTTGAATAAGGTCTTTTTTGCCTTTCAAGAAGTGTTAAAACAAATTTTTTCTTTAACATTCCATAAGCTACTCAAAGGATTACAGAGTGATCAACGCTTTGGAAGCCTGCTTGGTATTATTTTGTAAACCTGAGCATTTGCCTATCTATGATCCAGCAACTGCCCTCCTAGGACACAATTCCTGGGAACACTACAGATACCAGGAGATACATATTTTCTGAATGGGTTTAAGTAGATCCAAGCCAGTACTGCTGTAGAGGGAAATTGCCTAGCTGACTAGATACAACCAAATATGGACTATTACTTGTCTCTATCTGTCCCTGAAGTGATAGATCTCTTTTGCAGCCTGGGATTTTAGAATTTTTTGATTCAGGGTCATTTATTAGAAAGTAAGCCCTAAACAATATAATTGGGGCACTTCCAATCTGCTCTTTCATTTCTCTCTCTCTCTCTCTCTCTCTCTCTCTCTCTCTCAAAAGGTTTAAAAGCAGCCATTCAGGTTCTTTGATTATTGCTTTAATTTTCTGCTTGGCAATGCAGTTGAAGCCAGTCAAAGCCTGTCCTGGAATCATGTTTTGCTAAGGATTAGAGACTCACCCTGGAAAAGCTCTTGATTTTAATTGTCTTTCTGCCCTTGAGATGATTAGGATTTCGTTCTTGTGCCATACTTAGAGAGTCACTCTTCTGGTCCTTCTCCACTGCCCTGCCCCTGAGAAATAACACAGTTTTCAACAGTGTTTGGTCCATGGCAATTCTCTCTTCTGTGGCTGCTGGATTTCAGGACTAAGTTTCTAGAATGGTGAGTTTCTTCTCCCTGGGACCCTTCCAGAGTGAAGGTGATCTTCACTTATTTCTGATCCATATTTTAAAAACTGGTCTAGATCTAATCCTTAAACTCTCAAAGAATAAATGTCAAAGTTTTAGTCCAAATTTATCTACCTTTCAGGCCTCTGGCAGAACTGGAGATGAACTCCTTTCACTTCTCTCTCTCCTCACGAATGATGCTGACTGGTTTTTATAGAACAGATAAGTTCATTGATAGAACAAAACACTCCTAGTGAATCTTCTGAGTTTAATAACAGTTTTAAACAGAAACAGGTATTTGTAGGAGGTTGCTGTGAGATGTGTCAGAGCCTGGGCATCTGAGGATGTCAGAGGGCACTTGAGGACACGACTCTGTCATTTAGTGCAGGCACATGCCAGACTTTTTTTATTATAATAATAAATGGATGACCATGTGTGTACCACATTGCTTTGCAAGGTCACGCAGCTGTTTTGTCTAACTGTGTCTCAGAAAAGCTGATAAAGACATACAGCTCTTGAGCTCTAGAGCTGCAGCTCCAATTCTCATGCTCTGATGCTGTCCTGATGCTGGACATTAAAGTTGGTTTCTGCTTTTTTTGTGATATCTTCTCCAGGCATGTTCTTTTCTTTGGGAACCTCACCTCATCCCTTCAGCCCACTGGCTCCAATAGTATTAAAGGATGGGAACTGCCCCAGTCCCCAGAGTACTGCCTCACTTATGATTTATCTCCAGAACATCTTACCAGACTGGCCAGTATTCTAAGAAATATGCTAACTGAGGTTCTGAAAAAGGAAAGCCTATAGCTAAGTATGGTCTAAGGGTCACAGCAATACAGGTGAAATAATATAACTTCCAGCCTGCTAGATGTCAGATACACCAAGTTCACGTTCCCCAAAACTGAAGAATGAATTCTAGGGAACAGCAGAAGTTAAGAGTAGGAGAACTTAAAAGAGAGAGAGAGAGTAGAAATACTTTACTGAGAGAGAGCTTCTGAGAGACAGGAAGAGACCCAAAAGTGGATTTCTGCAGAGCTCACTTCACAAAGGAAGTTTTATAGAGCAAAATCACACGATGGGTACAACACCACAAGGTGAGTACAACATGGGTCAAAACTATGATCAACCAATAGAATTACAAATATAGCTCCTTTGGTAATATTGGTCCAATGGAGAAGCAGGTAACTTAGCAAGTGTACATGGAAAGAACAGGTTCCTTTCTAAGAAGGGAAGGATCCTTGTCACCTACCTGGATGACTGATGTCTATCTAGACTCATTGCTCACAGGTGATTTCAATTATAGTATATTCCTTATGCCTTGGGGAGGCATTTAGCCCTGCTCATTTCATCTTTATCTTGAGGTCTGGCCTTCAACAGATGTGCCTCCAAGCCACAGTTGTAAAGTGTTCTCATCTTTTGCACTGACTCCCTCTAGGGCCCAACCCTGTCTGATTGTCTGTAATATTTCTGCCTAACTTAGCTGTCTATAATAACAGAATCATGAGGAAGGGGGCCCAGGTGTACGGCAAGAGCAGCTAACCTGGCTCTGGCCACTTCCTTGCACCTCCAGTTGGCTGCTGCTGGCACTGGACAGAGTGAGGTCTAAGGGATGCCTTAGACTGGGCATAGAGCAAGAGAGATAGATAGGGACACCTTCCTTCCCCTTGTTTCTTTTCAAAACGGGAAAAAACTGTCATAGGTAGACATCTGCAGCAGGGCAGACTGGAGCCTTGGCAGGCCTTCTTCCCCCAATGTTTAAAGTACATACTTAGCTCCAAAAAGTGCTACCTAGTCTCTTTCTACACCCAAACCTGGCTTGTGCACCACCTCCTGGAAATGGTCGGCCCTTTTTGAGGGAACAGTTACATTCTCCCTATATCAATTTTGTGTGGGACTGAGTTTTTTCATACAGAAGTATTTATCTCAGAGATTATGGGATGATTGTTGGGATGTTGCCTGGGAGAGGAAAAACACCCTGGGAGTTCCTCCATCTCAGAGTTGTTTTGTTAGGCAATGACAGCCTCACTTGATGAGTCACATACCTTGCACAATCCCCAACTTTCTGAGACCTGTGTTTTTTCTGAGCTTTTCGTTTGAAAGCTCTTTTTAGTGGAGAGTCTATCCTTGAGGAGCCCGTAACTGACTCCACTCAGATGCTCACTGGGTTAAATAATACACTGTGCTGCAAATCTCGGACTCTTTCCCCAGGGAGTAAGGAGTGAGACCAAGTTGGAACATGTGAGTTGCCTGGCAAAAGGGGTGATACAGTTGCATGAGCCAATAATAGTCCAGGTTCTTGCGTATGACAAGGAAAGAATTGCCACCACGAGTACACCCAGCAGTAACTAGTTACGTAGGCTTATTGAAGATCACGGGTAAGGTAGAGGCAGGAACAGGAAAAATGGAAAAGGGGAAAACAGTCCCTAACTCAGACTTTAACACATAAAGGCCAAACACTTCTGGCTTCCTGGGCCTCCCACTGAATCACATAGGGCTTGGGATTCTCTAAGCCTTTGTTATGTTATTTTTTTTCTCTTAGGATAAGGGAAGCATGAATAACCATAGGGTGCTGTTTACATTTAAATAGAGGGGAAAGGAAAAATGATGAGAAATGGAAAAAATGGAAATAAAGTCTTTGTAAATAGGGAAGGGTGGAGGGGGTGAAGGGAGGGCTAGGAATGGGG